ACATCTTCTCACCAACAATCATCACCCAGATAAGCAGAGATTAACACCAAGACTATCACCAGACATACAATCAGCAGTAAATGATACCCTAATCAAGGAACTACCATAGGAAAAAACAAAAGAAAACAAAACCCCCACCCCCACCAACACTGGCAGGACATGCCACTGTATATAAACAGAGAGCAACTCCATCCCATTCTAGCACTGTTACCTAGCAGGGTAATGAAACGTTTGCAAGAAAACAACCAAGCTCAGAGAACCCCAAGGACTCCACAGACCAGCAATTAGATGTAGAAGGTCCAATGGGACAGACCTCCCTGCCTGGATACATTTTTGAGAATCATCAGTCCACCTACCTAAGATCATCCCCAATATTTATAACAAATTACAACTTCAAAATTCAGAAGGGCCTTATCCGTAACACATTCCTCACATCAGTCAGGGAGGAGAAATTTAAGAATATTTCTGATGTGGTTAAGACTTTGCCCTTTCAGTGCTGGAGCCACTGAAATCCCAGCCCATGTGGGCTTATATGGTCCATTTTACAGGGATATACCCATTTAATATCGAAATTCTCAGGGCACTTAGATTTATTTTACTGGAATTATTTATTTTCTGAGAGAAATGCACCCATTTTTTAAAACGGTATAACATGTTGCTTTAGAGTCTGTAAAAACTGGCAAGGGTTAATGAACTAATATCAGAGTATGCATCATTTTATTTCTCTAGTGGAGTTCTTGGTACTCGCTGAGCTCAGTTGTTTGCTTGCAGACGCTTCATTACCCAACTAGGTAACATCCTCAGTGGCACTGAGGATGTCACCTAGTTGGGTAATGAAAGGTCTGTCTGTCTGTCTGTCTATCTATCATGCTTACCAGAGTAAAAAAAGTCTTGGGATTTCTGGTTTAGAATTATGCCCCCTCATTTTTATTGAAGCCGTGGCTTTGTAGATGAACCAATTTGCCCAGTGGCAAAGCTTTCACTTGGTATAGTTCATTTAATTAATTTAATTTAATTTCTTTACTCGGCTGATATATAGCTCCAGTTGTTGACCGCCTCGGAGCAGCTGACAACCCTAGTGTGCCAAAACAGGGTTAAAATAACTAATAGAACCAAAGAGATAACAAACATCAAATCCCCAAATTTATCAGGATCACAGCAAAATATTCCTCTGTCCCATAAGCATAGAACTCCATACAGTCACAGATCAATGAAATGCGTGGTGGTATTTTCTTCTGCCGTACTTGCTAAAGGTTGTAACGTCTGGCCTGCAAGGCTGCAAGTTCAGAGTCAGTCAACCGGGTTAAATGGTTTGATTGATGGTCTCACTTAGCAGAAGGCCACCTTTCTGTGCTGACCCGTGACCGGCCTTGGAATAGAAGAACCAAACTGACAGCCTCGTCGGCTGGCTTAGGCACAATGTCCAGACCGGAGGGCTCTCTGTGCCCGAGGAGCTGTGCAAAGCGCACCAGCGCTGGTTCAGCCGTGAAACGAAGCTGATATTCCAAGAAAGGATAAGCACGAGATGCGTGAGCGGAAGGAGCGGTGTGCCGCAGGTGAACCCACCCACAGCAGCGCGAGGACTCTCGGACTGGCCTCCTTTTTCTCTCAGAGGTGGAAGGAAGAGGCCACGATCCTCCCTGCGACTCCAGGCACACGTGCACTTTCTCTTCCTAGCTTCTCCTACCGCCCCCCCCCCCGCTACTTTGGGACCAGCATAGCACACCGCTCGGCTAATATCTCCACGTCTTGCTGCCCTTGAAGACAGAACTACAAGGTCTGGCTGAAAAATTGGCAAGAGCGGTTGCCAAATGACGCACCTTCCCCCCCACCCCAAGAGGACATTCTTGCAACGCAGCTCCGGGGAAGCTTTGCGGGGTGCAAGAATGAAACCCACCAGGGCAACGGCCGGCCGGCCAGCCAAGCCGCTATAGGGGTAGAGGAGCAGGATAACGCACGGGGAAAATAAAGTTGGTAATCCCCGGCACTTGTGCCGCGCGCCGTCCTCTTCCTCCCCCCATTTCCACAGCGTATTGGAAGATGCGAGGCGGCTCAGGCTGCACGTCCTCATTGGAGCGCGCGGTTTTCTTTCCAAAGCCGCCGCCGTTGCAGGCTGCGAGGCAGGATCAGCTGCTGGGGGGCAGTGACGTCACAGAGCTCTAGCCAGCACAACGTTCCATTGAGGCGAGCGCGTGCTCCGGCGAGCACATGGGAAACAAGCTGCGAGCGGAGCCTTCTCGCTGCACAACTGCGGCCTTGGCGGCCCTTGCTCCCCCCACCCCCCTTTTTTTTGTTTTTGCTTTAATCGCAGGGGATGGCTTTTTATTTTTGGAAGGAAAACCCCGATCGAGACAGCGAATAACTTTGCAAGGCTTCCCGACTGTTTGGAGGGGACTTGGCCGGGCCTGCGAAGGATGCGTGGTAAGTCAGCGAGATGGGGGGGAGGGGGTAGATGAGGAGGCCGCGTGGGGGGAGGGAGGTGCACGAGGGGGGTCGTTGCTTTCCGGCCGCGCTCTTGCCTTTGTTTAAGCGTGCTTTCCAACGAGTCGGGCCTCGGAGTTGGCCAGAAGTTTACAGGTGCCCTTATGGCCATCGCCTTGCGTGCTTTTGTGTGTGGGGAGCGGGGGGGAAAGATCCTGCTGCGGTCCACCGACCCATGCGCGCTGCTCCGCGGGTCTGGACGGCGGTCTGTGTGCAAATGCACCAAACCTGCCTTCCGAGCGCTTCGAAGATAAAGATGACACCCCGCCCCCCTCCGATCGGTATTGGCCCCTTGCAGGAGGGTTCGGAGACGGGCAGCCCCCTCCCCCCCATTGCCATCGTTGCCATAACACGATCGCGGGGATGGGGGGATGCTCGTCGGGTCTCCCTG